CAAGGACACCATCTACGCCGGCTTCCACTACGACCTCAGCTTCCTCACCATCCACGGCAAGTCGCGGTTCCCCGGCCTCTACATCTGGCTCAGGACCGGCAAGAAGATGCTGGTACGCCCGCGCGTGCTGTGTGTGCGCACACGTGTGTTGTGCTGACTCTCGTGTGTCGTGTGGTGTGTGTGTCGCGTGTGTCGTGTCGTGTGTTGTGTCTCGTAGGTGCGAGTGCCGGATGGGTGCCTGTTGGTGCAGGGCGGCAAGCAGCTGGAGATTCTCACGGGTGGCCACGTCGAGGCCGGCTACCACGAGGTCGTGTGCGCCCCCGAGACCCTGACCGCCATCGAGAAGGCCCGCGAGAGCGGCAGGTACGAACCCCTCGACCGCGTGCCGGCGTGTCGTGTCGTGTCGTGCGGTGCTGATGAAGGTACGTATGTACTGTGGGGGCCAGGTCGCTGTACCGCATCTCGTCGACGCTGTTCTCGCACATCGCGTCGGACAACGTGATGCAGCCGCTGGGCAAGTACGGCGAGAGCGAGGCCGTGCGCGCCAAGTACCCGCCCATCAAGGCCGGCCACCAGGTGCAGGCCGAGCTCAACGCCATCAAGCTCGCCGCCGTCAAGCAGGACGCCTGAACCGACTATCACGATAGCGCTGAAGAAAATGAAGACAAGTTCCCCTTATTAAAAACGTTTGTGCCGAAGCTGGTGAAGCGAGAAGAAGGCCGCTTGAAGAAGGTAAAAAAAGAAGACAACACGCACGACACACAACACGCACGACACGCGACACGAACAAAAGGAACACGACAACGGACTCTCGATGAGGGCGACGAGATGGAGCTCGTTGCGGGCCAACTGCGGCGGCAAGAAGGTCTTGACCTGCCGGTTCCTTTCATTGATGTCGGCTCCGCGCGACAGGTGCCATAGGATTGGTGGTGTGTGTGGTGTGCGTGTGTCGTGTCGTGTCGTTGGTCGTGTCGTTGGTCGTGTCGTTGGTCGTGTCGTTGGTCGTGTCGTTGGTCGTGTCGTTGGTCGTGTCGTTGGTCGTGTCGTGTCGTGTCGTTGGTCGTGTCGTGTCGTGTCGTTGGTCGTGTCGTGTCGTGTCGTGTCGTGTCGTGTCGTGTCGTGTCGTGTCGTGTCGTGTAAGACAGAGCGCCAGTCGTGTGCGGCTGTGCGACAATGGAAGGTGTCGTCGGGGTCGGACGAGATGCTGGCCGCGGCCTGCTGGGCGATTCGGCTCGGCCCCTCTCTGAATTCCCAAATAATGGTAGCAAGGTGGCTCGCTGTCCTGCGGTCGGTGGGCATTCCCGTCTGGACCGCTGCAGATGATGGACGAGCTGGCAAGACCGATTCTTATAAGAAGTGAATGCCTATTCGCGGTCGGTGAATACGTGCTTCCACTTTATTCGGCGGTCCCTGACCAATGGCACCATTGCTACAATATTGCCGCCAACCATGGTGTACCTTGCATGAGCCAATAGGAATTTATCGTGAGGAATTCCCGAACATAAAGTTGCGGGGGGCAGCTTTTCTTTTTTATCACCATTACACACGCAAGAGCGACAACATGAGCAACCATCACAAAATCATAGTAGTCACCGGTAAGCGCAAATCTCACACTTGCTGTTCTGGCCAACCGCTCATTCACTGTTGAAATAACACAAAATGGAACTTGTCTGGTGCAGGAGCGTCTGGCTTCATCGGCGGCCACATCGTGCGGCTCCTTCTGGACCGCGGCTACCGCGCGCGCGGTGTGGTGCGCGACCTAAGCCACACCAACGCCGCCAAGCTGGCCTTCCTTCGCGGCCTCCCGCGCACCAACACACCCGACGGACACGACCCGCTCGAACTCGTCGCAGCCGACCTGCAGGCCGGCCAGTACGCCCAGCTTCTCCAAGGTTCACTACCTCTCCTCCCACACTGTTCCGAATATACTATCATAACATGTTCAGCATGTTGATGTTATTGGTTGTCTACAACAAAAAAAAACTGACTATGTTGCAAACATATGTAGGCGCTCATGCTCTGATCCACACAGCCACGCCTTTCGTCTACGGGGCGGCCGACCCGCAGAAGGAGATCGTCGATCCGGCGGTCAACGGCACAGTCGAC